ACATATCAGCCTAGGCCTACATAGGGTCATGATCATCAGTGTCACATCAATATCATCAAGAGGTCTTCCACCTCCACATCTTGTCCCACTGGAAGGTCTTCAGGGACATTAACATACACAGAGCATGAAAACAATGCCACCTTCTGGAAAACCTCCTGAAGGGACTGCCTGGAGCTGTTTCACAGCTAACTTTTTTGTTTTATAAGTAAAATGTGTACACTCTAAAATAAGAATGGAAAGCCTGTGTAGTAAATGCATAAAACAGTAACAATCATTTATTATCAACTATTATGCACCATACATAATTATATGTGCTATATGTTTATATGACTGGCAATGCAATAGGTTTGTTTACAGCAGCATCACCACCAATACTATGGCTCTATCACTAGGCAATAGTGGGATTGCTGGATCAAATGGTAGTTCTGTTTTTTAGTTCTTTGAGAAATACTCATACTCTTTTCCATAGATGTTGTACTTATTTGCATTCCCACCAACTATGTAAAAGTGTTTCCTTCTCCATACCCTCACCAACATCTGTTGTTTTTTGACTTTTCAATAACAGCCAACTGCTTCAAATTAAAAAAAAAAATTTTATTGCTTTCTTTTTTCTTTTTTTTGCTTCAAATTTTTAGAAGAAATATCAACCAAAGGGCTAATATCCAGAATCTACAAAGAACTTAAACAAATTTACAAGAAAAAATCAAACAATCCCATCAAAAAGTGGGCAAAGGATATGAACAGACACTTCTCAAAAGAAGACATTTATGCAGCCAACAGACACATGAAAAAATGCTCATCATCACTGGCCATCAGAGAAATGCAAATCAAAACCACAATGAGATACCATCTCACACCTGTTAGAATGGCGATCATTAAAATGTCAGGAAACAACAGGTGCTGGAGAGGATGTGGAGAAATAGGAACACTTTTACACTGTTGGTGGGACTGTAAACTAGTTCAACCATTGTGGAAGACAGTGTGGTGATTCCTCAAGGATCTAGAACTAGAAATACCATTTGACCCAGCCATCCCATTACTGGGATATACCCAAAGGATTATAAATCATGCTGCTATAAAGACACATGCACACATATGGTTATTGCGGCACTATTCACAATAGCAAAGACTTGGAACCAAACCAAATGTCCATCAATGACAGACTGGAGTAAGAAAATGTGGCACATATACACCATGGAATACTATGCAGCCATAAAAAAGGACAAGTTCATGTCCTTTGTAGGGACATGGATGAAGCTGGAAACCATCATTCTCAGCAAACTATCGCAAAAACAGAAAACCAAACACTGTATGTTCTCACTCATAGGTGGGAATTGAACAATGAGAACACCTGGACACAGGAAGGGGAACATCACACACTGGGGTCTATTGTGGGGAGGGGAGAGGGGTGAAAGATAGCATTAGGAGATATACCTAATGTAAATGACGAGTTAATGGGTGCAACACACCAACATGGAACACGTATACATATGTAACAAACCTGCACATTGTGCACATGTACCCTAGAACTTAAAGTATATAATAAAAAAATCAACTATTCTGTTTGAGAAGGAAAATGAGTAATAAATTGTCCCTTTGTTGCAATCCACAAACCCTTTCTAACATAGATTACTAAAATTTGCTCATCGCGTGGAGCATCTTTCATTTAGCAAGCTGGTAAAATGTATGAAAAGCCACAAGAAAAGGGTTTTGTAAAAACAGCAAAACTGCATTTCAAAGTGTGCCATTTTTTTTTTAATTGAGCTTTCTTATCAGGAAAATAACCCACATCCTGAATGCATTTCTAGCACATGCAGAAATAAGATGCTCTTTCATTTTATCTGGCCTCACACTTCCATTCACAAGAAGGTTTTCACAGAAATAAAACCAGGATGACCTTTGTGTCCTAACAAGTTCAAAGATGCAAATGAAATCATTTAATTCCTGATCTTTCACTTATTTCTGTTGGTAACAAAGTCTCAGGCACTGCTAATACTCATAGTTTGTTGACAATATTCAGTAGAAAAAGAAATTATTCACATCAATTAGAAGTTAATAAAAAAATAAAAATATACATTTATCTATCAGAGTTCATGGAGTTCATGAAACTAAGAGGACACTAGACCTATATTGGTAAACCTTGCTCAGGAATGGAGGTAAGGAGCTAAAAATAATCTGATACTTGCATGTATAAAATCAGTTCATAAATGTTCTGAAAGAACTTTTTGCAACTTTTTATTATTCATTGTGATTTTTCATCTGAAGCATCATATTAACAGCAATATGGTGAATGAAACGTGAATTTTAGTGACACTGATCTAGGTTTGAATCCCAGCTTTGCTCCTTGATATACACTTCATCACCATGTTGTCACCAGGGCTCCATGTGACAATCTATGTAGAAGGGCCCAGCCTTGTGCATGGCACATAGTAAGCACTCAATACACGCTGGTTTTGTTTCTTTTTCCTTCACCTCTCTCTCCACCAGCAACTGGAGGTAGGAAGGGCTAGATGTATACTCTAGGTGTTTTTCCTTGGCCCTGCAAGTAGGCACTCCTCCACCAGATATTTTTAAAGGGCCATTATCTCCTACTCTGTTCCTCATATACACTCTGAAAAACCAATGCTGCCCCTGGGTACCCACAAACAAAAGTAGCCTGATCCCTGACTCTATGCCAATTCTATTCCCCTAAAATAAAAGGCAGCACTGAGAAAGACAAGTTCACTGGACTGTTCATCTGTGATATCACCAAGATCTCAGCCACCCACCCTGGAGCCAAGAGAGCCAAGAAAGACCATGAACACGAAGACACGATGTTCTGGTTCCTCTCCTCAGAGCAGAACAAATAGCATCTATTCAGAGTGGAGGGCCTTCTAGGCATGGGGGCACATCAATTTGGGTGCTGTGGCCAATGGCAGTGGCATCACAGACAGTGGTATCATGTGCCAAGCAGAGTGCTAGGAACTTCAGAATAACAGAACCTGCTACCCATCTTCATGATGTATGTCATGGAACCACAGAATGTTAAAGTTCTAAAGGGTCCTTAAAATGATTAAAACCTGATATTACAGATAAACAATTTGCTAAAGATACAATGAGTTATCTAGTGATCAGGCACAGGTCTCCAGACTCTCAGGAAAATGCTGTTTCCATTGTGCCACACTACCTCTATTAATAGGTTCTAACACCTTCTCTCCCCTACCCCATGATAAATGAAGAAAGTTGTTTTCAAGAGAAAATGTGATGGATGAGGTACTGTGGGAGGCTGAGAAGTAGGTCAGAGGACTCCAACATTTGGGTAGAGTTGCAAAATTCTACAATCTTAACTGGAAATAATTGATACAATGGAGATTCAAAACACAATTGGCCTTTCAGAAGGCATCTGCCAAGGAGAAACTTGAAGAAAAGAAACTGCAAATCCATTTCAGTTTAACCAGAATGTCTGCTTCTTTTGCTCTGATTCTAGTACTGCTCCTTCTCTTTATTTTCTTATGTTTAATTTTTATTTTTATAGATTCAGGGAGTACATACACAGGCTTATGATATGGACAGATCATGGAATGGTGAAGTTTGGGTATCTAGCGTATCCAACACCTGAAGAGTGAACATTATACCCAGCAGGTAATTTTTAAATAGAGGATAAAGCAGAGAAAACAAGTGACAAATGAAATGCCCTAATAACTTGGTAAGCCCAGGCTCCAAAGGCTCAGAAGTTTGTCTTCTTGATAAGCCTGGGAATGTTCTGAAAAATGCTATCCAGTGTTCAACACCCTCTTTTAAAACATGGCAGAGTAGAAAACTAGATCCAAAGGCCTCACAACCTTACTCTCCATTCTGGAATCAATTCTTTCAAAGGAACCAGTTCCCTCTTGTGTAAGTCTCTAAGACTTCTTGCTCTCTTCTTAGGCAAAGGTGGGCTCCATACTCTGTTTGTTCATAGAGAAGAAACATTGTAAATTTTGTGACACTTAAGAAAAGATCATATTTTACCCAATCTTCATCTGATGTCTAAAAAATGTCAGACTCAATATGTTTCAATGATCATATTGTTCCTACAACTAAAGAACATGTTAAAGCAGTTTAGTATGGAATATTTCTAGTATCTCTAACCAAGTGCCATCAGCCATTGGCTGGTGGTTTAGGAGACTTAGAATGCCAGGAGTGGCCATGGTTTTCCAGTACTTTACCCATAGCAAATCTTAACTGAGTTAGCTTTCATAAAGACAGACATTTAAATTATGAACAAAAAACTAGCCAGATTCAAAATATAAATTTGCTAAAGATCAAGTCATGGAATAATTCTAGAGAGGATTTAATGGCTCCACAAAGTAAATAGTCCCTGGCCTTGAAGGACAGATTTCTTGTAAGTAAAAGTTCGGGACTGAGAATCAAACGTTCTAGGTGGAAGGTCAAGCTTGGTCACAGACTATATATCTTGTCCTCTCTCACTCTCTGGTTTCTTACCCATAATGTGAGGAGCCAGGTGAGCTTGTCTGCCTTATTCATTGCTTGGTGTCACTCATGTAACTGTGCTGGCATATACAATTTCTCAACAAATATTTGTTGAATGCATGAATAAATCTCAGAGAGGCACTGAATCACGGTGGTGAAACGTGTGGACTCTAGAATTAGGAAGTCATACTTCGAGTACCAGCACTGTCAGTCACTGGATATGTGACCGGGGATAAGCTTCTGGAACCTCAACAAACCTGTTTCCTCCTCTGTGAAACTGGGATAAGAATAATAATATCAAAACTGTATGTTTTTTAAAAGGTTAGCTCCATGCAAACCTCAACATTTATTAATTTTCTTTATTCTCTGCTGTGAGGAGGACAGCCAATGAACTTGAGCTCCAAGAGGAAACCTTGTGTGACTGGCTCTCGCCAGGCATGAATAATTACTAGCCTATGATGAAGAAGAAGGTTTCCTCTCTGGAGCCTACAGACCTGTGCTTACAGCCCCTGGCGTCTTTTTCCTGCACAAGAGATTTCCGGGTCAGGATGAACAAATACTTCTTGTTCCTCTTCCCCCTTTGCTGCCTCATTGTGGGTGAGTCCCGGACCTGAGGGGTATACTTGAGAGACAGGATCTAGGGAGCTCCAGGGAAACTACAGGTATAGCATGTGTCCATGCAGGGCTGAGCTTTGGCCACTTTTATGAGCCAGGGGAAGCCGGCCTCCAGAATGCTCCTTTGTCTTCCCTGCCAACTCTTCCATCCTTTTCAACCTCCTGCCATTCTCCTCCAGGTGGGCAGGCCTCTGTCCTGCGCTTTTAACCCACTTTCTCTCTCGGTCCCTACCATTCATTCCCCATAGTCCCAAGCCCTGGCAAGATTTTCCTTAGGGCATCCTTTTTATTTGTAAACCTATATCCCATTTGTTGAGGGAGCTGTCAGTCTATAATGAATAATTTTCAGTTTATTTTAGGACTGAACAATGGCTTTTCATACCCTTTTCAGAGACTTTATATTACAACAAGTAACTCTATGAGAGGAAGTACTGAATGCTCTGGAATCAGACAGATTTTTTTCATGGTTTGTGGTCACAGTCTCGAACTCTCTGTACCTTTGGTTGCTCATTCAAGAAATAGGGACAATGGTGCCTGCTTACAAGGCTTTTGTGAGGATTAAATCAGATGCAACTTGAGAGAACATGGCCCAAATGGGATGCTCAATCATTGCTTTCTTTTCTCATTCAGGTGGACCAGGGATTTTTTTTAAAATTGAACCTGTATTTTGAATAGCTCACCCCACAGAACCTCATAAAAGTGTCACTTATGGTACTACTATTGATGATGCCTTTATGTAGATTCAGATTGAAGCTCAAAATAACAGAATATATCACCTAACGATATCCAAGCAGCAATATACAACACAAAACAATGGCAAATGTTAGAAACCCAGTAACAGTAACAATAGCTTGGATGAAATATTTTAAAGCCCTCACCCTCCTTATCACACCCATATCTCTAGTAGGCCAGGCTAGCATTCATAGCACCATTTTTAAGCTAGAGAAATCAGTGACGTGGAAGCAAACTTTTTGCTTAAAGTTATCCGGGTTAAAAGGGCTAAAGTTGGGATCAGAATCCTTTTATTCATATGGTGACATTTTCTCTTTATTAAAACTCTGAAATGAGGAGTTCATAAGAGCTCCAACTGTTTACTGCCTAAATACCCCAACCAGGAGCTCTTCATCTGCCTGCCCCCTCCACTATTCATTCCCCACCTCCATCGAATATTTCCAGCTCCATCCCAAGTCCCCACTTTTGCCTGGTCTCACACCATCTCTGTGCTCTCTCCAGCAGTGACATCACTTCGGTGCATAACATGCCACCTTCGCACACGGACAGACCGCTGCAGAAGAGGCTTTGGTGCCTGTACTGCTCAGAAGGACGAGGCATGCATGCTCTTAAAGATCTACCAGGGTAAGTTAGAGGGTCAAGGAAGGTATTGTAAGAGTCTTAGAATCCTTAGGATAGTGCTTCAGCAATTTCACATCTCAAGAGAGGAACCAGTGCAGAGTGCCCCTGAGCATAGATGGTAGCACAGGTCCCTGTGCATACAGACAGAAGATGATTTCAGTCAATGAGACAGGAGGGAGAAGTTGGGATTCTATATTTCCAAGAAAATTGACCAACCAGATTTTTTTTTTGGTAATTGACACATAACAGTTGTTCATATTTATGAGTACATGTGATATTTTTATACAAGCCTTCAATGTGTAATGATCAAATCAGGGTAATAGGGATATTAATCAACTCAAACATTTATCATTTCTTTGTATTGAGGACATTCCATATGTTCTCCTCTAGCTATTTTGAAACATACAATAAAGAAAATATGGTATATACACACAATAGAATATTATTCAACCATAAAAATAAATGAAATTCTGTCCTTTGCAGAAACACAGGTAAGGCTCGAGGTCATAATATTAAACGAAATAAGCCAGGCACAGAAAGACAAATACCACATGTTCTCACTCATGTATAGGAGCTAAAAAATAAGTTAATGTCATGGAGGCAGAGACTAGAGTGATGATTACCAAAGGCTGAGAAGAGTGGTGGAAGGAGAGGATGAAGAGGGGCTGGTTAATGACCAAACTGATTTTGACTTTGAAGACACTAAATCACTAGTTGCTAATCTAGCAAGAGAGAAAAATGAAGCAGCTACACAGAGTTGAGGATTTTCAGGGACCTCAGGCAAACAACCCCTGCAGCTGACCAGTGACCTCTGTATCTCCCTGCCTGGGCGCTTTTAGGGAGTATAAGCTGGGAAGCCATCCCTCAACTTACCCTGATGCCTGATTAAATTTTCACCAACAGAACTAGTGCTGGGTTTTACTCACCTTGGAGAGCTTAAATCAAATGCTTATTTTCTGTGGTTCTTTCCTATTTTAGGCAATACTCTGCAGATATCATACATGGTGTGTCAGAAATTCTGCAGAGACATGACATTTGATCTCGGGAATCGGACTTATGTTCATACATGCTGCAACCACAATTACTGTAACTTCCAACTCTAAGACATTTGCCCTCCTGAGGTCTCGTTTTGGAATGTCCCCAATGTTGCTCATCCTTCACACTCTGAAGCCCTTGCTTTCCTGCCCTCTCATTAACCTAAGAAGACTAAGCTAGTGTCATCCTTTCTGGTGTCTTCAGCTTGGCTTCTCCCTCAGTCAGAGAATAGTGGTTCTGAACAATGGATTTCTCCTGTTATCGGGAATATTGGCATTGCCATACTCCAAGAAACCTGCCCCAAGAGTTCCTGTACAGTAAAATTTAAAGCAGGGACATTCTAGAATCCTAATTGGCTTAACTAGTTCAGGTACACCAGAAAGCCTTCAGCTAAAAATTCACAACATTTTTATCTGAAATTCCCGTGTGTCAGGAGAATGATTAAGCAGAAATAGCAATAAAATGGATGGCAGATACTGAAGATTTTTCTCTATGGACACCAAGTTATTTCTACCAGCAGGCAGTGCCCACTTCAGACTCAGCCATTGTGATTTTCCTGGCATTTACAAACTACATCCTTACACTGTTATTAGGAGATAGCAAACAAGGGACTTCCTGGCCTCTGTGACGTTCACTGAGCTCTCACACAGCCGCTACTACTCCTGTCGAGATGTACATTTAAGGTGCATCAGAACTCTCATTTCTTCCCCTCCCATTCCTAAACCTTCTCTCTTCCTTTCTTCCTTTGCCATTCACCTTTACTATCACCTCCCACCTCCATTATCACCTCCCCATTGCGACACAAACTCTCCCTGTAGAAGCAGGAGGTCCTTTGAAGCTTTGCCCCATGTGTCAGATGACACCTGAGGCATATAACCTAGGGTGGGCTGCCTTTCAGGATCCCTCAGCAAAAGGAGGCAAACATAGTCAAAATACCATCTACCCTATACAGCTTTCTTGAGACTTGGGGGCCTGGCTCAAAGAGATTTGTCGGTTGTTTGCTGCCCATCTTTAAGTAATAAACAGACTTCACATAACTTGTTGTGTGTTGGTGTGTTCTGTCTCATCGAACTCAGACAAATAGGTAACTAAAGCATGATGGAACTAAATAGTAGCCCAAGATATAGTGGAACTCCTGTTTCTGCCGGAGGGCAGAGTGCTGATTCCTGTTATTCTCCAGAAAGTGGGAGTCCTTGCTTGAGATTGGTAATGAGCATTGCACTTCTATATTCATGAAACAATTATGACTGTTCTGGAACTTATTATAAATGAAATCACACAGAAACTATTCACTTAAACCTGGCTTCTTTTACTCACCATAATACTGTTTTAATTTAAAAATTTTTAATTTTAGTAGGTACATAGTTGGTGTACATATTTATGGGGTACATGAGATATTCTCACAAAGGCATGCAAAGCACAATAATCATATCATGGAGAATGGGGTATCCATCCCATCAAGCATTTATCCTTTGTGTTACAAACAATTTAATTATATTCTTTTAGTTATTTTTAAATGCACAATTAAGTTATTATTAACTGTAGTTGTCTGTTGTGCTATCAAATACTAAATATCATTCATTCAATTTTTTGTACCCAATAACCATCACGACCTCCCCTCCAACCCCCCACTATCATTCCAAACCTCTAGTAACCATCCTTCTAATCTCTATGTTCATGATGAATTCAATTGTTTAGATTTTTAGATCCTACAAATAAGTGAGAACATGTGATGTTTGTCTTTCTGTGCCTGACTTATTTCACTTAACAGAATGACCTCCAGTCCATCCATTGTTGTCATTGTTGCAAATGACTGCATCTCACTTTTTTTTATGGCTGAATAGTACTCACTTGTGTACATTTATCACATGTTCTCTATCCATTTATCTATTGATGGAAAGTTAGCTTGCTTCCAAATTTCGGCTATTGGGAAGAGTGCTGCAACAAAGAGTGCAGATATCTCTTCAATGTGCTGATTTTCTCTCTTTTAAGTATATACCCAGCAGTAGGACTGCTGGATCATATGGTGGCTCTATTTTTAGTTTCTTGAGAAACCTCCAAACTGTTCTCCATAGTGGTTGTACTAATTTACATTCCCATCAACAGTGTGTGAGGGTTCCCTTTTCTCCACATCCATGCCAGCATTTGTTACTGTCTGTCTTTTGGATATAAGTCATTTTAACTGGGATAAAGTATTTCATTGTAGTTTTGATTTGCATTTCTCTGATGATAAATGATGTTCAGAACACTTTCATATGTCTGTTTTCCATTTGCGTGTCTTCTTCTGAGAAATGTCTATTCCAATCTTTTGCCCATTTTTGACTGGATTATTAGATTTCTTCCTATAAAGTTGTTTGAGCTCTTTATATATCCCGGTCATTATTCTCTTGTCAGATGGGTAGTTTGGAAATATTTTCTCCCATTCTGTGGGTTGTCTCTTCACTTTGTTAATATTGTTTCCTTTGATATGCAGAAGTTTACATTGATGTTATCCCATTTGTCCATTTTTCCTTTGATTATCTGCGCTTATATGGTATTGCCTAAGAAATTTTTGACCACAACAATGTCCTGGAGAATTTCCTAAAAGTTTCCTTACATTCATTTAATGGTTCAAGTCTTTAATCCATTTTGATATGATTTGTGTATATGGTGAGAGGTAGTGGTCAAGTTTCATTCTTTTGCATATGGATATCCAGTTTTCCCAGTGCCATTTATTGAGGAGTCTGTCTTTTCCCCAGTGTATGTTCTTGGCATCTTTGTCAAAAATAAGTTTGCTGTATGTGTGTGGATTTGTTTCCGAATTCTCTATTCTGTTCTATGTGTTCTATGTATTCTGTTCTATTCTGTTCTAGGTCTATGTGTCTGTTTTTATGCCAGTACTATGCTGTTATGGTGACTATATCTCTGTACTATAATTTGAAGTCAGGTAATGTGATTCCTCCAGTTTTGTTCTTTTTGTTCAGAATACCTTTGGACATTCTGGGTCTTCTGCGATTCCACGTAAATTTTAGTATTTTCTATTTTGGTAAAGAATGTCATTGGGATTTTGATAAAAATTGCATTGAATCTGTAGAATGTTTTGGGTAGTATGGACATTTTAACACTATTGATTCTTATAATCCATGAACATGAAATATAATTTAATTTTTTAATGTCTTCTTCAATTTCTTTCATCAGTGTTTTATAGTTTTTGTTGTAGAGATATTTTACTTCTTTGTTTAAGTTCATACCTAAGTATTTAATTTTTTCTGTGGCTATCATAAATTGGATTTCTTTCTTGGTTCCTTTCCCAGAATGGTTGCTATTGGCATACATAAATGTTACTAATTTTTGAATGTCAATTTTGTATTCTGCAACTTTATTGAGTGTGTTTATCAGTTCTATTTTTTGGTGGAGTGTTTAGGTTTTTCCTACTACAAGATCATATCATCTGCAAACAAGGACAATTTGAATTCTTCCTTTCCAATTTGGATGCCCTTTATTTTCCTGTCTTGTCTAATTGCTCTAGCTAGAAATTCCAGTACTATGTTGAATAACGGAGGTGAAATTGGCATTCTAGATCTAAGAGGAAAGGTTTTCAGGTTTTATTTTCATTTTTTATGATATTAGCTGTGGGTCTGTCATATATGGTTTTTATTATGTTGAGGTATGTTCATTCTGTACACAGTTTTTTGAGGGCTTTGAACATGAAGGGATGTTGAACTGTATTAAATGCTTTTTAGCATCAGTTGAAAATATCATATGCTTTTTTGTCCTTCTTTCTGTTGATATGGTGTATCACATTGATTGATTTGCATATGTTGAAGCATCCTTGCATCCCTAGTACAAATCTCACTTTGTCATGATGAATGATCCTTTTAATGTATTCTTGACTTAGGTTTGCTAGTATTTTGTTTGGGATTTTGCACCAATATTCATCAGTGATATTTACCCACAGTTTTCTTTTTTTGATGTGTCTTTGTCTGGTTCTGGTATCAGGTAATATTGGTTTCGTTGAACAAGTTTGGAAGCATTCCCTTCTCTTCTATTTCTCAGAATAGTTTGAGTAGATTTGACATTAGTTCTTTAAATGTTTGGTAGAACTCAGCAGTGCAACCATCAAGTCCTGGGCTTTTTTTCAACTGAGTGACTTTCAATTACTGTTTTGGTCTTGTTACTTCTTACTGGTCTCTTCAAGTTTTGAATTTCTTCATGTTTGAATCTTTGCAAGTTATATGTGCATAGGAATTCATTCATTTATTCTAGATTTTCCAGTTTATTGGCATATAATTGTTCATAGTACCAACTAATGATCCTTGGAATTTCTGTGGTATCAGTTGTAATGTCTCCTATTTCATCTCTAGTTTTAATTATTTGGGTCTTCCCTCTTTTTTTCTTAGTCTGGATAAAGGTTTGTCAATTTTGTTTATCTTTTTAAAGAAATCAACTTTTGGTTTCATTGATCTCTTGTATTGTTTTCCATCATTTCAAATTCATTTATTTCTGCTCTGATCATTATTTCTTTTCATCTACTAATTTTGAGTTTGGTTTGCTCTTGCTTTTCTAGTTCTTTAAGATGCATCATTAGGTCATCTATTTGAAGTTTTTTTTTTCTTTTTTGATGTAGGCACTTATAGCTATAAGTTCACCTCTTAGTACTGCTTTCACTGTATTCCATAGGTTTTGGTATGTTGTCTATTATTTGTTTCAAGACATTTCTCAATTTCTCAATTTTTTTCATTGACCCACTGGTCATTTGGAAGTATATTATTTAATTTCCATGTGTTTGTATACTTTTCAAAATTCCTCTTGTTACTGATTTCTAGTTTTATTCCTTTTTGCTCAGAGAAGATGTTTGGCATTATTTCAACTTTTTTGAATGTTTTAAGACTTGTTTTGTGACCTGCCATAGGACGGATCCTTGAGAATGATTCATGTGCTGAGAAGAATGTGTATTCTGCACCTGTTGGATGACATATTTCATAAATATCCATTAGATCCATTTGTTCTATAGTGCAGATAAGGTCTGATGTTTCTTTATTTTCTGTTTTGATGATCTGTCCAATGCTGAAAGAGGGATGTTGAAGTA